CTGTGGGTGCCCCTGAATAGCTGATCTGAAGCCATCAGGTCCTTCTAAAATAAAATCTGAGAGAACCTGAAACTGGGACCAACCAGCTTTACATAACCAATAAGAAAAGGACCAAGGCACACCAATAATACAAACAGAAGCATACTTCAACTTAATTCTCATATCAGAATCATAAACAGCAAAAAATTCACATGCCAAAATCACAATGAAAGAATAATAAAATGGAAAGCCAAAACACTGTGTCTCCCCCAAACTCCACCTATCCTGTAGAAGAGTTCTACAAGGGGAACCCCCTAGAGATAATCCAGGACACAGAATTTAAAAGAACAATCATCAACATGATCAAGGAATTCAATGAATTTAAAGAACACAGAAACAAAGAACTAAAAGAAGATAGGGATAAACGGAATGAATTCACAAAAGAAATAGAAACATTGAAGAAAACTCGGGCAGAAATGAAGCCAACTCAATAAGCCAACTTGAAACAACAGAGGAAAGCCTCACCACTAGAATGAATGAAATGGAAAACAGAATATCAAGACTGGAGGATAAAGTTGAAGAAATGGACCACTCAAAGATTATGAAAAATTTAAGAAAACACAGGAATGGAATATGCAAGAGATGTGGGACACCATGAAAAGACCAAATCTATGTATGACGAATAGAGGAAGGAGAAGAATTTCTGGTTAATGATATTGACCACATCTTAAACAGAATTGTAGAAGAGAATTTTCCGAAATTAAAGAAACACATCCCCATACAAATACAGGAAGCACACAGAACACCAAATAAACAGGACCAGAAAAGAAACTCCCCACGGCATATCATAGTAAAAATACTAAGTGTACAGAACAAAGAATACTGAAAGCTGCAAAAGAAAAACAAGTCACATACAAAGGAAAGCCCATCAGAATTACAGATGACTTATCAAAGCAAACTATGAAAGCCAGAAGAGCCTGGACCAAGGTATTTCCAGTTCTATATGACAATAGATGCCAGCCCAGAATACTTTACCCAGCAAAAATGTCTATTATAGCTGAGCAGGAAAGAAAAACCTTCCATGACATGAAAGGCCTGAAAGAATACATGACCACGAAACCAGCCCTTCAAAGAACACTTGAAGCAATACAGAGAGCAGAGAAAGAAAAAACTATACCCCAGGGGCAGTGAAAGAAAATAAAGAAGCCATTGAGAGGGAACTGACACTGATTCTAACCACTCCAACAGCTATCAAAATGCCTGGAAGCAAATCCTGAATCCATCACTCTTGAGTCCAGCCTTCGCAGACAAAAGAAAAATGAGGAGGAACCCAATAGAGGGATGCTTTTGGAAGCTCTCGTCAAGAAATTCCAATGGACTCTCATATGAACTGTAATGCTAAGTACTCTTGCCTTTACTTCTCTACACACGCACAAAAAAGTTATGCAGTTTAGGAGTCTTTTAGATAGACCCACTGAAGGGGTACCCCGATTGCCTCCCTCTGCATCCCTGTTCATCATGGAAGAAGTCAGAGCAGTCTGTGTCCCCATTCTCTACCCACACATTGGGTAACCTCTTCAGAGGATGGTGTGATAAGAATAGGAGGTAGGAATTGGCTAGGCAGTTAGGGTAAAAAGACCCCAAAGAAATGTAGCCAGTTTCTTGGCTAAAAGACAAAATATCCTTGGGCCTCTTAGTAACATACTCTGTTCCAAAGGCCAAAAATGTCTAAAGTATTTGGGTGCTCTTATCTAATCCTTAAAAGATTTTGGGGTTTTTTTCTTTAGAGGGTGGGAAATGTTAGCGTAGCAAAAAGCCCCATAAAAAAAGAGAAGAAAGAGTACATGAAGTTATCGGAAAAAAAAAGAAAAAAGTGATGGGGAGCTATGGAAGGAGTTGGAGGGAAGGGAATGGGCATGAATCTGATCAAAACCCCTTATATGCTTATATGCCTGTATGAAATTCTCAATAAATTATTTTTTTAAAAAAAAGAAAAGAAAGTACATGAAGTCAGAAAAAAATGATGGGGAGATATGGGAGGTGCTGGAGGGGAGGGAGTGGGCATGGATTTGATCAAAATGCCTTATATGCATGTATCAAATTCTCAATAAAATTTTTAAAAAATTGATAATTGGAAAAAAGTTTAAAAAAATAAAATATTTAAAAAATGTTTACATATGGTTCTGACTAAATTACATTGAAATGGGCTACTTTTTTACTTCCTGCAATATAGGAGGGATTTTTTTTTTCATTTATGTATTTTTACACTGGCATTTCAGATGCACTCAATTAGTAATTAACCCCATCACTTCCGGTTCCCCTTTTAATAACAAGTGTGTTATATTGCTTATTTTAAAATTTATGGATAAGTTGCCTATACTTATAGTTTCAAAGATACCAATGTAATTTACTAGTATAAGAGAGAGTATATATTTCAACATGTAAATAATTATAGCTTACCCTAGAAGATTAATGATGTGGCTCAAGGCTTAAATATGTTAGTGTAAATGAGACAACTAGAAGTGATGGCTCAGGTAAATGTATTTTCTTAGTAAGTTAAGTATCATGGATGTGATTTAAAAAAATTTTTTAATAATGAAATTTTTAGGAAAAAAAAATAAAAACAGTAAGTTAGGCATAGTGGCAGATGCTTATAATCTCAGTACTCAAGAAACTGAGACAGGAGGTTCACTGAGAGTTTGAGGTAAGCCTGGGCTACATATTGTGTTTAAGGCCTACCTGGGTAACATAGTGGGGCCCTATCTCAATAAAATAGAATTATTCTGGGGAACCCAAATACAGTTGTCCCTCAGTTTACATAGGAGCTACATAGTTGTGCTCTTGAAATATTCCATGTATGTTAAAACCATGCACAAATTCTGTCAAGTTGCATAGAAAACTCTTCTGTTCCATGGGGACTCACTCTCCTGTGCAGTGCAGAAAGAGTACCATCTTGGTTTCTGCCAAGAGTAGAGATAGCAGTCATTTGAATAACAGAAAAGTATGCCTGCAGATTTTCCCAGTGTCCCCTAGGGAGTATGACTACTCTAAATGATCTAAGTAAGAAGACAGTTATAAATCATCTTTCTATTGGGCTAACACTCAGGAAGGAGAGATACTAGCACCAACCCAGAAGTATATAGAGCTGAACTGTCTCTTCTTGTGTCCCCAAAGGCACTGCACCTTCTTGCCTTGTGTAGCTAGCTGCACTAACTCCGAAGCTATGTTGTCATTCCACATAAACATCTCCCTGTCCCCATCTCTATTTCCTGTTCCAAACATCTAGGAGGTTTTGCTAAGTGCTTTCGCAGAAACCAGTAGGGAGCAAAGAAGGCTGTCATTCCTAGGACCCCTTGCACACGTTCCCTGTGTGAAGTCTGTGTTAGAGGAATTCCCTGCTAACACATACTGAATACTAATGACTGTTAATAATGTTAGCGATTTATATTTGAAAATACTGTTATAAAAATCAAGTGCAGGGGCTGGAGAAATGGTTCAGCAGATACGACTGCATACTTCTCTTGGTAGAGGACCCATGTCAAGTAGCACACAACTCCCTGTAATTCCAGCTCTAGGGAATCCCATACTCTCTTCTCACATGTATATACAATTTAAATTTTAAAAAAGTCAAATACTTTCAAGTCTTTTTTTGTAGCCCCAGCTGGTCTGGAACTTGTTGTGTAGACTTGGCTGGCCTGGAACTTGCTATATAGATAAGAATGGCCTGGAACTTGCTGTATAGACTAGGCTGGCCTTGAACTCAGAGATCTGCCTGCCTCTGCCTCCCCAAGTGCTGAGATTAAAGGCATGTGCCTGGTTTTTCTTTCATGTTTTAAGGTTTCTTTTCTACTTATTACCATCTGGTTTGCAGTTCAATGGAGTACTTGATGTACATCAAGTAGAGTTCTCTGACATTTAGCCTGTCTCTTCAGTTCTATTTTGATGATTATTGAACTGAATCACTGGAGTCATTGAATTATTCTGAGCATGTATTGAATTTGGTACAATTTCTCCTGTGGGTTTTCCCCTCAGACTGAGGCTGAGCTGCAGGAATTCTATTTTGAGCCACTGGTGAAAAACAGAACAGATAGAAGAAAAGATAAGAAACATCAGAGAAGTGAAATGCCGAGTTAGTAACATGCAAGATGGTGGGTGGAAGGCAGGGGCTTGAACCTTGGGCCCAGTTTTGTGAGGGGACTACTCAACAGGATATTGGTGATTGTGGGATGCTGGACCATATCTTGTGGTATGTCATTTAATTGGGCTGGAAAAGAAACAATAGGATAGACTAGGTTAATGCTAGTGCTCCCTGCCTGACCTGACCATGGAGCTCTGCAGTGGAGCATTTGTAGGGGAGATTCTCCTGTTTGATCACTACTTCTTGTCCCATGGATAAGCCCCTGACATCTTCCACTTTGACCACTGGCTTCAAGTTGTTTGTAGTATTCTTTAAGTTCTGACAAATCTTAACATACTGCTGACAGTCCAGAGTTTGCTATCCCTGGGACTTTGACTGAACTTAAAAAAAATTTTTTTTTTAGTCTCACTATGTGGCCCTGGCTGGCCTTGAACTTGCAACCTTTTGCTTCAACCTCCCAAATGCTGGGAGTAGAGAGGCATGTCCCACCCTACTCCACCTTCCTAATATTCCCAGTGTCAAAGAATGTTATCGTGTACTTCATATTTGATTGGAAATGAAGACAGACATTAGAAAATGAGGTATTGGTATAAGTGAGAATCAAGAAATCCACTTGAGCTTAGCGTGGTGACTCATGTCTTCAATCCCAACACTTGGTAGACTGAGACAGGATGATCACATGGGCATGAGGTGAAGACCAACCTAGGCTACAGAGCAATGCCCTGTCTGGAAAAGAATAAAATAACAAACAACAATTAGTTGGTTATGGTTACAATAGTAACATCAGTGGTAACAGGAGGGCTGAAGGTCTCTTGTCCTGACAGTAGCTCCCAGTTCCTCCCTCAAAGCTCACTGGACATGTGGTCTGTGTTGGTCTGTGCAGTGTGCCTACACCTACTTTAAACCTCTGGAGACCTGCATCAGCAAACAGCACGACTTACACTGGCATGATGGCATGAAGAGGTTTTTCAGGTGTCCCTGTGGAAACAGGACTATCTCCCTTGACAGACTCCCAAAGAAGCACTAAAGGTATGAGAATTGCTTCTGCTGATGTTCATATATGGTACTTCCTATATGGTCCCTGGGAACATGAAATCATCATCCCATGCCTTCCAATAGCTCCTAATATCCCTGAGACTAGAATTGGGGGCTTTTGTTGTTTATTTTTAATATTTATTTTCATTTTATTTGTATGAGTGTATTGCCTGCATGTATGTAAGTGCACCCATGTCACCCACAGAGGTTAGAAGAGGATGTCAGATTAACCTTGGAACTGGAGTTACAGACAGATGTTAGCTGCCATGTGGGTGCTAGGAATTGAACCTGGATCCTCTGCAAGAGTAGTCAGTGCTTTTAACTGCCGAGCCATCTCCAGCCCCGAGACTAGAATTGTTAATTGAGACCTCTAAGAGGCAGGGCCCACCCCTTGTGCTACTATATCTCCCATGCTCAAATCTGTATGAGGAATGAACAAATGGCAGGATGTGCATGGTGACATCTGTAGGTAAGCAAGTTGTACAGGCCATGCACGGAAGAACAAGATGCTCTTCAGCCACCAGGCGCACTCTTTTTTTTTTTTTTTTTTGAGACAAGGTCTCCTTGTATCCTCAGCTACTCTAGAACTCACTATGTAGACCAGGCCCCTTAATCTCACAGAGATCTGCCTGCCTCTGCATCTTGAGTCCTGGGGTTTAAGGCACCTTGCCACACTTTTTTAAGAATGATGTTTCCTTTGGCTTCTTTTATCAGTTCTTGACCTGGAACAGAGTCTCTTCTAATAAGCATAAATTAAAACCCAGGTTGGGTTTTAATCACTGCAGTACTTATATCCCTATTGTATGATCACCTGAAATTCCATCTCTTAAGTCTCCAGCTTACAAAGGAGTTGAAGACCATTTCTCAAGTCACTGAAATGCTTATTCTTAGTAGCTCTAGTAAAGTAGCTTTAACAGTAGATATGGTATACCATATGAGTACCACCTTCAACAGCCCTTCCTTGAATGGATACTTATTTCCTCCAAGTGACCCCCACCCTCATTGTCTTTATGTATATGTGAGGGAGGCAGAGAGGGAACTGTTAATGCCTCAGTACTGAGTAAGCCTACTTTTTCTATTTCAGAAATTGTGGCCTCTACAAATGGGAATAGGACGGAATGCTAAAGGTATGTATGTTAATCTGTTTTCTATTACTGTAACAAAAATTACCTCAGATAATCAAAAAATAATTTGTCTGTGCTCAGTCTATGGTCTTATTCTTTTGGGGCCTGTGATGAGGCAGCACGTCGTGGTAGGAACATGTCACAATAGAGGCTTGTTTATCTCATAGCTGAGAACAAAAAAAGCTTTGGATCTTATAGTCCCTTCAGGGACTCAACCCCAATGACCTGAGACTTTCCACTACATTCCACTACCTTCCAGGAGGACCATACTGGACCAAGGCTATAGCACATGGGTATTTGAGGTCATTTACAAGTTATAGCAATATATCACTTGCATTCTAATTTGTAATTAAGTTGATTACCTAGGAAAATAACGCAAAGCCATTTCTTATTTGTGCACTCTCCTTTTTCTAGGAGAAGACTGGTCCAAAGATAGGGGGAGAGACCCTGTTACCAAGAGGGGAAGAACATGCCAAGTTTCTGAATAGTCTTAACTAACTTCAGACATTTTTCTTCAACCCACTTCTTATGGCTCTGGAAAAGCAAGAGATTGATGCTGTATTGTCCATTTTCCTGTTTGACACTGAGAAACAAATGCTTGGTAAGCCCACAAGCTTTGCCTGCTTCCTTTCCTCTCTTATGTTGTTTTGCCACCATATTTAACATTGACATTTAAGTAGGAAATCAAGATACCCTAGTCTTTCCTGTCCTCACTACAGTCCTGCCTTAGAGCAGTCACTCAAATTTTTGCCCCCAATCTGGAAGATGAACTGAGAGCTGTGCTTCTGGGTGTCTTTGTTAAAGACTGAGTGAACTTTTTTATTATAGTAAAGTTCTAGTGTTATATGGACACCAGAAGCAAAAGAACTTATTTGGGTCAATTATCTCCATACTTCTGGACTTTGTTTCCTTAAGTGAGAAAGATTGGCCTACTTAACCTTGAAGTATATCTTTCAATGCTCAAATTCCTGATGACGATTATCATTGCCCTTAATATAGTCTTAATGTGCTGACATTGGAAGCCACATTCCCTTTTTATCTGCTGTTATTTTAGCTTTGCTCTTTGAAATGAAGTCACTGAACCACTTTGCATATCAGTTCATTGACATATATGGAGAAAAATGGCACTCTGTGCTCACAATATTGGGGGCTCAGAAATAGAAATACCTAAAACCTCGTCATTTTTCAGTATGCATTTATTTAATTATGGCTTAAAGAAATTTTAACCTCCTGATAAAAACATATACATAGCTTGAGAAGATGTGAAGCATGACTGAAAACAAACTGTTAAGATGGAATCCTGTGGACTTCGGGGGGTTGCGGTTGTGCTTCATTATATGTGTCAAGACTTAAATGTCGAAACCAATACAAACTGTCCCAACATTTAGTTTGGGAAATTCCACTAGCTGGATAACCTGATTTTTCAAACATTACTGTATTAGTCACTTTTCTATTGCTGTGATAGAAACACTGACTGGAGCAACTTATAAAAGGAAGAGTTTGAGCTTATGGTTCCAGGGGAATTATAGTCCGTCATGGCAGGGAGGCATGGTGGCTGGAGGTGGCTGGAGCAGGAGCAGTAGAAGCTAAGCTCTCACATCATCACGCAGGCACAGGAAGCAAGAGAGCAACTGCAGATCTGGCAAGGCTTAAGAACTCTCTAAGTCCACCCCTAGTGACGTGCTTCCTCTAGGATAGCCACACCTTCTAAGACCTCCCAAAGCAGTGCCACCATCTGGGGACAAAATGTCCAAATACTTGGAGCCTATGGGGGACATTCTCATTCAAACCATCACAATTATTTGACCTGCATGAATGCTGGTATAGTCTAAAAGTTGAATAAGATGGTAGGGTTATTGTTTTGGATTTAGAACTCTAGCTAGAAATGTTTAGATTTCTTCCAAGATAGTATAATGTCAGGAGCTTAGGACTGATAGAAGGTACTTATGGAAGATTTGGGTTTTCAAGAACTGCAAGTACAATCACTAATCTAAGGTAATACCTTGGATTTCATACAACTTTGTTTCTGCTCTACCTAGGTAGAAGATGCTGAAAGTAGCCTGTATTCCCCTAAGGTCATATTCTAATCACTGTGATTTTAGGAGTACTATCCTTACAGTTGGGTTCTGGCTTTTGTTTTTAATTTAACTAGCAAAGAAAAGAATAAATTACTTCTTAATAAGAACCAAAAAGCACTTGAAACTGATATATTTTTAATAGCTCATTTAGGGTAGAGTCTTTTCTTTTATAAATGTCAAATAGCAATGCATATGAAATAAGTGACACAACTACATAGAACTTGAACAGCAGCTTGTTCTTTGAGTGATCTTCCTATGTGAAAAATAGGTTCCTATGAATGGAAGGCACCACAGGAATTTGTGTCCATTTGTATGCTGTATGTATGTGATGTTTAATGTACTTGCAAAGCTTCATGGGGACCTAAGTCTGAGTACCTTTCTTTGTAAATTTTAATTTACATTTCTAAAATGATTTAAAAATACAGCAGAACCACTTTTTGCACTGAATGTTGGAAGGCATTTGAGGTACTCTGTGTATGTACTTTCTTAAAATACTCAGAGGATGAAAAGGGGTAGAGAGAAAGCTCCTCAACAGCCTTGAAAATCTTCATCAGTGAAATTAGTCTTTTAATCCTGCTTTTTAATGTTTTTATCAACAACTATTAAATGCTTTCATACAAATCCACTCTGTGTTTCATTTACTTCTTTTTAAAATTTTTTTTATCATTTTTAAAGTTTTATGTGTATGAGTGTTTTACCTACATGTATGTTTGTAGACCACTTGCATGCCTGGTACTTTTGGGGGTCAGAAGGGAGCGGTAGATCCCCTTGAATCGGAGTTACAGCTGGTGGTAAGATACCATGTGGGTGCTAGGATTTGAACCTAGGTCCTGTGCAAGAGCAACTATTGTCACTAACTGATGAGCCATCTCTTCAGCCCCTCATTTACTTCTTAATCTGATATTACTTCTATATTGTGTCATCACAGGCCATCAGAACAGGGTAAGTACTTGGCTATTAACAGAAACTGGATGGCTGTGTCCTTTATGTAGAACCTGGTTGTTCTGAATGTATAATATTCGTGATGGATTTTTTTCCTGTGCCTTTTTTCTGTTAATTTCATTTTGTATATTTATTCTTTGAAATTTTTGTGCATTTATTTTTTTTAAAGATTTATTTCTATTTTTTTTTTTTGGTCTTTTTGAGACAGGGTCTCCCTGTAGCCCCAGCTGTCCTGGAACTCACTATGTAGACCAGGCTGGCCTTGAACTCACAGAGATCCACCTGCCTCTGCCTCCTGAGTGCTGGGATTAAAGGCGTGCACCACCACGTCTGGACTTATTTCTATTTAAAAAAAATTTTAATTGAATTTCTGTGTATTTTATACAAAAACATCATCCTTATACTCTCTTTCCAGCTATGTGTATTTGGCTATGCTTACAGTATCACACATGAGTTTCCTCCTATTGAGTGGACTTTAGGTAACTGTTGATTACCCCCCAAGATAAAAGTGCCACTACTGCACCAATGTCATTTGCTGTGCTGGTCATTGATGAGGTTTTTAGGCCTTGAAGCTGGCCTGATTGGTGTTCTCCCTTACCAGCTTGTGTAGTGCTCTCCAAAGCTACTGTGAGAGCTAGCTTTCATAGAAGGTGACTTCCAGGTCAATTCCAGCTCCATGGCTCCAATTCCTGTGTCCAGGGTATGTTCTGTCTTCAGCAATAGGGTCTTACCATCAAGTACATTTATACAATGTATTTTGATCATACATGTCTAATTCTCTCTAGTGTCTCACCCAGAAGTATTTTTTAAGCTTTATTCATTTTTATTTTATGTGTATGAGTGTATTGCCTGCATGTACGTTAAGTGCACCTTTGTCCTGCAGTGTCCACAGAGGACTGAATAGGGTGTCAGATCCCCCTGGAAATGGAGTTACAGACACAGTTGTTAGCTGCTATTTGGATGTTGGAATTCAAATCCAGCTCTTCTGCAAGAGCAGCTGGAACTCTTAACCACTGACCCATCCCTTCAGCCCTGCAGAAATTTTTTTTTTCCTTTGAAAAGGAAAGAGTTTATTTGGGTTACACGTCATAGTTCATCCTTGAGGGATGAACTTGAGGGAACTCAGGGTAGGAACCTGGAGGCAGGAGCTGAAATAAAGAATGGTGCTTACTGGCTTGATCCTCTGGCCTATGCTCAGTCTGCTTTCTTATACAACCCAGGACCACCTGCCCAGGGATGACACCACCCATAGTGGGCTGGGCCCTCCCACATCACTCAGCAATCAAGAAAATGCCTCAAAGACATACCCACAGGTCAGTCTGATGGAGGAAATCCCCCAACTCAGGTTCCCTCTTCTCAGGTGTGTCAAGTTGATAACTGAAGGTAATCAGCACAGTCTCCCTGTAGCCCTCAGCTGGCCTGGAACTTGCTATATACCAGGTTGGCCTCAATATTAAAGTTTTGTCTGTATCTACCTCCTGAGTGAAAGAATTAAAGGCATGCTCCACCATGCTCACCGCACTCAATGTGTCATATTTTGTTCAGAGTGTGGTGCTTTGAAGGTTGACTGTGCTCCAGAGGATGGAGCATTTGGGGAACACAAATTAGACTTGAATGGGCTTTAAAAACAGTAGAGACCATGAAGTGAGAGAGATGGGGAGGCAAATCTGGTTCTGAATGGAGGTGGGTAGGGGTCTGAATATGATTAAAATGCAATGTATGAAATTCTCAAACAATCAATAAAACAGTATTTTAAAAAAATAAACCCAAGACAAACACATCTGTCTTTCTTGGTGCTTTTTAGCTCAGCAGCACCCACTGCTTTCCTAATAGAAAATCCAGATGTATGATTCTTTTTCTTAGATACTGGGAGAGAAGAGAATATAAGAAAAGGAAAAGAGGAGAAAAGGCAAAGGTGGGGAAAAGGTGGATGTGTGGAGAAGGCAGAGGTGGGATGAGGGCTTGGGTGGGGAGAAAGGCTAGGAAGGCAGGGAAGGAAGGTATCTGAGGAAGTTGTTGTTCTCTGTCCCAAAGGATTGTTTTTAACAAGATGAAATAGGATCATGAATGGGGAAAAATATAGTAGAGCCACCCTTCAGCATCTGTGTGAGTCTGGCTCCAGAACCCCTCTCAATACCCAAGTCCATGGACGATTTGGTCTCTTGTGTAAATGGTATCGTGTCTGAATTCAACCCACACCGATTCTCCTGTGTTTGCTAAATCTTCTCTGTGGTACATAAAATACTGAATACAATGTAAATGTTGTTAAATAGTTGTCATACTACATTGTTTAGTGATAATGATGAGAAAAACTAATGTGTTCAACGCAGAAACAACCGTATTTGGCCTAACTCCACATTTGACACAGGGTTGATTGATTTTAACCTAAGGGTACAGATGACCTATTCTGTGTAATCAAGGTATTTCTTATATGTAACAATTGCCTTTCTAATTTTCTTTTTGTGTACATGTATATGCATTCATGTGTGTTTGCAGGTCCATGTGCACATGTGTACATCCATGCGAAGGTCAGAGTCCAATATCTAGTATCATTCTCAGTTGCTCTTTATCTTGATCTTTGAGATAAGGTCTCTCATTGAACTTGGAGCTCATCAATTTGGCAAGACTTGCTGGCCATTGAGCACCAGGAATCCACCTGTTTCTGTCTCCCTATCACTGCAATTACAAGTGCAGTACCATGTCCAGCTTTTTAGGTGGGGTCTGAGGGGTCAAACTCAGATCTTCATGTTTGTGCACCAATCACTGTACCGATGGAGACATCTTCCCAGACCCTATAACTTTCCCTTGTTCAGTGTCTTCAGTATTTTTTTTTGGTGGATAATCCACCAGCAGCTCAAAGCCAAAATATTTCACTTAGAAGACATTATTTTCCTGTCAAACCAGCTTCCGTCTCCTCTGCTACCTCTGACAGTCAATGAAGTAGCAAAATCCTGTTACCTCCAAGCTGGGAGGCAAACAGCAGGTCCTCTTCTCTCATGTCCAGTTGGACGTCAGACCATGCTGAACCTCCAAAAGTCTCACAGTGCAGCTGCCACCCCCTGATGGAAGCCCTTGAGTTCATCTCCCATGCTCTGAAAGCTGTGTCTTGTAAACCACGATTCTTCTCCAACTTGAGTCCCCCATAGTTGAAAGTTTGGTCTTCATATGACACGTCTTCTCATATCAGGTCTGTGTTACAGAGAATTCTCTGATGCCTGCTTCCTATAGGTTAAAATGCTGCCTGCCAAGTAGGGAACAGAGCTCCCACAAGCTGCAGTTCCTTGACTTGTCTTTCTTACATTTTCTTCCACATTCCTTCTTTCTTTGGAGAACTTCATGTTGCTTTTCATTTCCTTATGCCTAGACCCCCTTTTCCTTTTGTTTACTTTCAAAATGTCTGCTTTCTTTCCAATCTGGTTCTAGGAATCAGAACCCCCCACTGGAATCCATATACTCTATCCTAGATGTTAAGGCCCACTGTGTCAAGTCAGTTTACCC